AGTAGTTTTTTTTTTCTTTTAAAAACATAACTATTTATAATGCTCCCCTAAATAATAAACAAATAAATTACAGTGAAAGCAATGAAGATTTTGTAGGTTTTGAACCAAACTAAATAACAGTAAACCTTTTTTTTGATTTACGGTATTTTCTTATTTTGATGTTTGGAGCTCTTTTGTGTTTAGAACAATATATACTAATTTTTAAAGTATCAAATTGAATTTGTGTTCAATAAAAATCTTTCAAATGCGACTGTAGCTTTTTTTTTCCCCAAAAACTTTGTCTTCAAAATAAGGGTGCGTCTTATATTCCGAAAAATAAGGAATATTCCTAAAGAAACTTTATCAAAAATACATCTCTCTAACTTTATTAGCAGAACTTGTAATGTTCATTAATATAATTGCTGTTGTTCATTGTTTGTATCCAATGTTTTACAAAAGCAAACTAGTGTTAATAATTTGGTGTACTTCTCACTGATACACCAGTATTTCTTTTTAACTTTCTGATTTAAGCTTTATTTCCAAACATACTTCGTTTATTATTATTATTACATCTCCTTCAGTTAACAAGAATAATGTATTACTTATGCTTATCTGAAAATTTCTTTTCCTTATATAGCTTCTACCATTGGACAACATTATTGTTTTCTTTTTGTGCTATTTTAGAGTTGCTGTGATAATTTTTGAAGTTAATTAAATAGGATTAATTTTGAAGAGGCTTATTTTGCTCTCAAGATGAAGATCTCTTTGAAGAACTTGCAATTTTAATAGCAATTTCATAGATGATCATACTTCATTAATTTTGGATTTTAGCCACTTAATAAAGTTTCTGTTATGTAAAGGATTTTTTTCATTATTACATCCTGCCTTAACCCTGAACTGATCATTCTGTACTTTTCATTGCTTTTTAATATCTGATCTGTTGTCTCTCAGTAGATTTGCATTTTCCCACATTGTAGTTTGTAACCACTAGTGGTAGATCTTATATACCTAATGTCACAACCAGGGCAAGTAAGTTTCTAAACATTAAATGTTTTCTGTATTTTTAATTTCAGTAATATTATTTGTAATTTTCATAAGTACTTGTGATGTTATAAGCACAGAGGACCAATATTTTCAAAAGATTATCTTCATACTTATTTGGGGTAAAACTAGCAGAATTATAGTCCTGTAGAAATATTTGTATGAAAAACTTCACAATCCAGTAATCCCTTGTTGTTATGGGCTTGGTGTTCTACTGTAAACTTTGTATTATTATGTTTACTGTTCACTCACTGATTTATGTTTCACCTCATTATAAAAATGACCAAAGTATCATCCACACATCTCCAGTATTATGTAGGTTTGAAACTCTTTAGACACTCTTCAATGATATTTTCTCAAAAATAGTACAAAAGTAGGTTAGCTAATGCTGAACCTACACTGGAACTTATAAAAACTCCATCCACTTGCTCATAGATGTTACCATTAAAAAGCAAATGTGACTTCATGATAATAAATCCCAATAACTGTTGGCTTGGAGAATCTTATCATTTGATTTCTAGTTTCATAAATTAGGTTTATTGTCTCATGTAATAGTGTGTTCATATACAATGTCCAGCTAGCACATTACTCATTTCTGTCTTAATTATAGAACACAAAACTCTTTTATGATACCAAAAATCCTACCAGTTCATGATCATGAGTACCTGTATTTGAACTATTGGTCTGGCTGAACAATCTTCTTTATGAATAACCATATAGTATATCTGGCTAGCAGCCAGAAGCTCTTATTTTAAGAAATTCATCTTGAATCACTAATCTTTTTTAATTTCAAAAAACCTTTTAAATCTATTTTCTCTCATTTTGGTAGGTTCACTTTCAAGTGTTTTTAAATATACCACACTCATTTGAAATAACTTTTATTTTTAGAATGTAATCAGGTTTATTTAAGATGACAACACCGTTTTCTTTATTGTTAACACAACTTTTAGTTTCTAACAGCATCCAATACCTATTTAATTATAATAGAATGTTTATGACTATGGTTAAAGCCGATCGTCTGATGCGTTACTACCACAGCAAATCTGTTGCTCCATGAGGAGTGTCTGAAGAATTTCAAACCTGTATACTATCAGTGGTATCTAGATAATACTTTTGTCATCTTTAATGATATGGAACTTGTAAATCAGTTATATGGATATCTAAACATAATAATATAACATCAAAAAACTACAGCTTGCTTTCTTGGGTGTTTTAGCCCATAACAACGAGGGAATATTGGATTGTGTAGTTTTGTATCAAAGAACTTCTACAGGACTGTATATTAATTTTACTAGTTTTATCCCATATATGTACAATCTTGTGAAAATATTAGAAGTGAAGAAAATAATTTATTTCTTGAAAAAGAATGAGTTTTTTTTTTCAAAACAACAGATTATGAATGTTCCAAAATTATCGATGTGAGTGATATCTCTGTACATTAGAAAACAATTACTAATATCTTTCATAGAGTGTACCCTCAAATAGACATAATTTATTTTCAAACCTCAATATAGAAAGCAAAATTTGTCAAAATTTAAAGATAATATTTCTGCACAAAAAACATCTAATGTTGTTTATGATCTTATCTGGTATAAAAGATCTCATAAGAGTAAATGTAGTGTGCAAGAAAAGACCGATACATTCAGGACTAAGGAATGACGCAACAATGAAAGAACTCTTTACATCAAAAAATTTTATTAAGTGGCTAAATTTTAAAATTAACAAAGTAGGATCATCTGTGAAATTATTTTCATCTCATAAATCAAGAAATTACAGTTACAAATAATTTAGGAACAAGTTACAGTTAAAAGTGAATCACTGATAGTCCTGTAAATCTTGTGACGAGTTATAATTCTCACTAAACCACTACTATTATTGTAACAAGTTACAGTGAATCACTGATAGTCTTGTAAATCTTGTGACTAGTTCTAATTCTCACTAAATCACTACTATTATTCTAACAAGTTGCAGTTAACAGTGAATCACTGATAGTCCTGTAAATCTTGTGACTAGTTATAATTCTCACTAAACCACTACTATTATTCTAACAAGTTGCAGTTAACAGTGAATCACTGATAGTCCTGTAAATCTTGTGACTAGTTATAATTCTCACTAAACCACTACTATTATTCTAACAAGTTGCAGTTAACAGTGAATCACTGATTGTCCTGTAAATCTTGTGACTAGTTATAATTCTCTCTAAACCACTACTAGTATTGTAACAAGTTACAATTAACACTGAATGATTGATAGTCATGTAAATCTTGTGACTAGTTATAATTCTCACTAAACCACTACTATTATTGTAACAAGTTCCAGTCAACAGTGAATCACTAATAGTCCTGTAAATCTTGTGACTAGTTATAATTCTCACTAAACCACTACTATTATTGTAACAAGTTACAGTTAACAGTGAATCACTGATAGTCCTGTGAGTCTTACAACAGCTTATAGTGAACATTGAATTTCTATGTGCCCTGTGACAAATTATATTAACAATAAACCACTACTACTGTTGTAATAAAGTACACTCAGCAATAAACAATTAATAGTCTTGTAGCAAGTTACAGTTAACAGTGAATCATTACTGATATTTAAGAAATTTAACAATGATTTAGTACCAGTCTTCTATAAAGTTACAGATAACAACGAATATTTTATTATAACAAGTTGTTGTTTTTTTTAACAGAGGATTCCTTAGAAACAAGCAGCAGTAGTGGTACTCTCTCTCCTAAAGGAGCAAAACCTGATGTGTATACGTTCACCAGCTCTTCTCACCCACACGTACCCGGTACTCAGCACAGTAGCACTTCCTTCCCTGTGGGAGGAAAAATGGAAACCATCTCAGAACACTCGGACAATGGATTACCTTCAGAACAACCTCAAGTGACATATCAGCACAACCGAGATAAACTTCATCTTGATCTCTTTGATTCTCAGCAATCTTGGAACAGAGCAACAGGTATAAGACCTCATCCTTCTTGTTTAATTATAATTTGTTTCTCCAAGTTAAAAGGACATAGAACTTTATACTTAGGTGAATGTCTCTTATGGCTATATGTAAGTTTGTCTGCATGTTTCATCCACACATCATTATACAACTTAACCTCTAACTTATGTAAGTTTGTCTGTATGTTTCATCTACACATCATTATACAACATAACCTCTACCTTCTGTAACTTTGTCTGCATGTTTCACCAACACATCATTATACAACATAACCTCCATACCTTGTGTAAATTTGCCTGAATGTTTCAACCACACAGTGTTATAAAACATAACTTCTACCTTCAATGTAAGTTTGCTTGCATGTTTCAACCACACAG